GGGAAACTGGAACTTTCACATCCAGGAGAAACCAAAATAGTGCAACCACTATGACAAAGCAGTCTGGCACTTCCTTAAAAAGTTAGTACAGAAATACCACATGGAGCTCTGGTGGCAAGAAGCTGCACTGCGATCCCAGAGGTACGTGGTTTGAATCCACCAGATGCTCTGCTGGAGGAGGGACAATCCCTTCCTGTACCAGTCAGATCTGATTTGATGGTACACACACAAAAAATTAAAAACAAAATTAATAAAAAAAATACCACATGATCTTTCAGTTCCACTATTAGATATATATCCCAGAGAAATAATTAATACAACAAAAACTGACATACTCACATCAATATTCATTGCAGTATTTTTTAATTTTTTTGAAATTTTATTATTTTTAGTGCGTGTACCATCAAACAGCATCTGACTGGCACAGGAGGAGGTTGCCCCTCCTTCTCCAGAAGAGCATCTGGTGGATTCAAACTGGGTATCTCTGGGACTGCAGTACAGCTTCTTGCCACTAGGCCACCAGAGCTCCCTTAATGCTGTATTTTTTTACAACAAAAAGTTGGAGAATCAAATGTCCATCAATGGACAAATGGCAAAAGTAATGATACATTACACAATGGAGCTTTACATATCACTAACAAATGACCAAGAATTCATTAAATACCACACAATACAGATGAAATCTAGAACAAGTCATGCTATGTGGCATAAGTCAGTCACAAAACAATAATTATGATCTACAACTACTAATATAAAAATGTAATTAAAAGTTTGCACCCAGAATCAAACTAAAAGGATTAACAAGAATGAGAAGGGAGAAAGAAGGAAATAAAAAATGACCAACAGGATGAAGGAAAAAGCAATGTACAATAAGGATTTGCTAAGACATTGTAAATTAATGTTATAAAATAATATATATATATAACACAAAAAAACCAGTACATTTTGTAAATTTTTACTCAAAAAAATTTTAAAAAATTAAAGTCAAGCAATTAACCAAGAAGCTGTACTGTATGAAGAAGAGCATGGTATGAGGATCAGAGTACGCTTCATCAATATTACCTATAATACATAGATGATAAAACCCTACTTGCTGAAAAGAAGATCTAAAATACTTAATGATGAAGCAGAAAGACTTTAGTCTTCTGTATAGATTTCACCTCAACATAAAAATAAAAATCCTTACAAGTGGACCAATAAAACATCATTAAAAGCCATTAAATGCTTTAAATGCTCTGGAATTACATTTTACATGGATCCCCAATAAACAACATTGAAGCAGCAGTAAAGAAATCAAATTACATGCTGCTACAGGCAAATATGCTGTCACAGTCCTCTTTAAAGTGCTCAAGAGCACAAATGTTTCTTTGATAAGATGTGCCTGACCCACATCATATTTTTCTTATGTTCATGAAAGTTGCTGTTATTAGATGCCACAGAATCAAGTATGACTCATAGTGAGCCTATGAGCAAAAGATCTGAATCCTAGCCTACCCTCTGCCATACTCATTTCTCACATAGTTGAGCCCACTAATGCAGCCACAATGTCAATCCATCTTGTAGAGGGTAATCTTCTCTTAAGCCGAACCTCCACCTTTCCAAGCATGATGTCCCTTTTCCAAGAAATAGCCTCTCCTAACAACATGACCAAAGTATGTGAGAAGAACCTTTAGAAACTTTGCCTCCAAGGAGCATTCTGGTTGCACTTTCTCCAAGACATATCTGTTTGTTCTTTGGGAGTTCATAGGATATTCAGTATTCTTCTCCAACACCACAGCTCAAGGGTATCAATTACCCTTCTGCCATCCTTATTCATTGTCCATCTCTCAGATGCAGAGAAAGTGACTGAAAAGACAGTAGCCTGAATCAGGAACACCTTAGTCTTCAAACTGACATCATTGCTCCTAAGTAATTTGGAGACTTCTTTACTATAGGCTTTCTCAATGTCATACATATGTCTCTCAATATCCTGACTGCTGGTACAAAAGGTGTATACTGTGGAGTCAAGTGAGTTAAAATTATTGACAATCTCAATTTTTTTCAATTGTAAGAATTTTTGTTTTCTTGATACTGAGATGTAATCCATCTTGCAGGTTATACTCCCTGATCTGCTGCTGCAAATATTTCAAGTCCTATTCACTTTCAGCAAGTAAGGTTGTGTCATCTGTATTATGCAGATTGCTGATGAGTTGTCCTCTGATACTAATGTATTTTCTTTCATAGAGCCCAGCATCTCGAATGATTTGATCAGCATAGTTTGAACAGGAATGAAGAAAGAAACCAACCTTGACACACATCTGTATTAACTTTAAATCACGCAGTGTTTCCTTGCTCTATTCCCACACAGCTTCTTGGTCTAGACACAGATTTCATATAAGCATAATTAAACATACTGGGATTCCCATTCTTCTTAATGTTAGCCATAATTTGTTATAATTCACACAAAAGCCTTTGAATAGTCAATAAGACATAAAAAGTTATTTGTTGAGTTTTTCAAAATTACTTTCCTAGTCATTGAATTTGACTTTCCCATGCAGCTTGGCAGGTGTATACAAATAGGGTATCCACAAGGGGATAGGCTAGTCTAACCAATCCATAAGGGCTTTAGTTAGCTTTGCCATTAAATTAGCAGATCCAGCAGCAGAGAATATCTCTCACCAGCAGCAAAGGAGAAGCAGTCATGCAGTGGATGTCCTTCAGGACCAAATATTCTTGTGCCCCCTAGACTTACATTTGCAGCAGCCATGGCCAAAGCAGGGAACCAGAGAGTCAACATGAGATGGGGCTGACCTTGAAACCACTACCCCTTCTCCCCCACTCTATGGACAAAACCAGAGCTAAGCTTTTTCCCAAGTTGGTTAGACAACTGAGCAGTGAGGAGAGGAGACAATATTCACAGGACTGTGAAGTTGTAACATTGGCTTTAAGATGCAAGGGTTAAGGATTAGGCACCTGCAAGCACATTTTGAAAGCTTGTCCTAACTGTATTCTGCTATTGGATTATATAACCATTCTACTTTTCCAGTATGGTTCTGTGTGTTTGTGAGCTAGTGCATAGGATTTTGGACCCAAAAAAGCAGTTAAAATTGGTGTTGCGACAAGTAGTAAGAGGTATGGGAGCATGGGGGACATGTCTGACCTCGTAGGAATTGGTTTTGTGTTGCTAATACTGTTGCTGGGTATAGTTTCCCTTACTGAAGTTGGTAAAGGTCAGATGTGGCCATCTCTTTGTGACCCTTGCTGTTTTTACAATATTCTTTGCTTTAAGCCAGTATTGATTTGACATTACCAATGATTCTTGGTGCCTCTCACTGTACTGTTCTAGCCATTGTAGGATACTGTCAGCAATATTTTGCTTGCATGTGATATTAATGATATCGTTCCGTTATTTCCACATTCTGCTGGATCATCTTTCTTGGGAATGACAACAAATATGGATCACTTCCAGTCAGTCAGTCAGACAAATAGCTGTCCTCAAAGATTTCTGTCATTGACTGGTGAGCACATCCAGGACTGCATCTGTAGTTGAAACATTATCAACTGCTATCCCATTGATTCCTGATGCCTTATTTCTTTGCCAATGTCTTCAGTGCAAATTAAATTTCTTCCTTTATTACCATTGACTTGATCATATATTACTTCCTGAACTATTTCAATGATGACCAATTCTTTTTGGTACAGGGACTCTGTGCATTCTCATCTTCTTTTGATGCTTTCTAGATCATTCAAGATTTTGCCTTTTATCATCTCTCAGTATAGCAACTTAAGGCTTGAATTTGTTCTGCATAAGCGAGTCCTTCCTTTATCTGTTCCAATTACAGCTCTCTGTACATTCCATACTTTGCTTTGTCTTCCAGAGCTGCTCCTTGAAATCCACTGGGAAATTTCTTCTATATAAGGATAGCCAGTTCATGGGAAAAGATATGCTTGGTAAAGAAAGCCAGTAGAAAGGAAGAAGATACTTAAAGTGATGGATTGACCAAGTAACTAAGTAATACAGCAAGGACTGAAGTACAGCAGAAGACCAGAAATTGTTTTATTTCATTGTAAACAGGATTACTACAAGGTGGAGCCAAGTCAATAGCATCTAACAACAGCTATGTATATAAACAACAATAATTATAAAAAACGAAAAATATTTTTTAAATATATGGTGATATCCTATCTGGCTGACACAGTTCCAAAATGCTATAGAAAAATAGTCTTACTTTAAACAGATAATGTTACTTAAGTGTAAAAAAAAAATTACTATTAGCTGCCCTTCTCATCATTTTACAAAGAAAAGTCCATAAACCACACAGGTATGAAGAAGTCTCAAAAATATTTTCTATTTTACTATTGTTTTATGTGTTTGGTAAGAAGCACAATTTTAACTTTTAAAAGATCCCCTTATTTCCTAAATAAAATTAAAATTCAATTAATATAACTTATAATAACGTAAAAGAAAAAAATCCACCAGCTGCTCCATGGGAAGCAGATGGGTAATCTTCTCCTATGTAATTAAACTGCCTCTAAAAACGCACAGGAGGGTCCACAATGGGTCAGTTCTGACTCAATGGTACACAGCAACAACATAATAATAACATGAAAGTGTTAATAATTATTTACAAATATGTAAGCATAATGCATAAATTAAAGAGTTTTGGTGGTAATGTTGCTGTTAAGTGTCATCTAGTAGAATATGACTCATAGCAAGCCTATGAACAATAGAAATGAATCCTGTTCTATCTTGTGTCATCTTTATTATCTCTGAGCCCACTGACTCAGTGGAGGTCCAGCTAAGAATTGGTTACAACTCAACAAAACTCAACATTATTCATTGAATCCATATTTCAATCAATGAAACATTACTTCTACTAAGCAAAAATGTAAGGATAAACATTATGAAAGAAAATTGATAACATAAATCATAAAATGACTGCAAATTTTGTTTTTCAGTTTTAAATATGAATTTACAAGTGCAAATACAGAAAACAAAGGATCATTTTATATTTTTTAACCTGATTTTCCTTGTCATTTATTTCTTTTTTGTAGTCTTCTTGAAGGTGTTGCATTTTTTCATAGTCTTCTTTCACTTTAAAAACAAAATATATTTTAATGCCTTAATGTAATTAAATAACTTCTCTAATATATATAAAACTTAAGTTTCTGATACTATATTGTATCTTTTAATCACAGCTAAGTCTATTAAACTCAAAGGTGTGCACATGGCTAAAACTGTTACTCTTCTGTTGCTAAATTTGTTTAGTAAAATAGTCAATTTAAATAATATCATAGCATAATAAGTGAAGAAATGTTGCACTTTCTCTAAAAGCACACATATAAATATTATTTGCAAAGTTCAAATCTGAAACATTATTTTAAATACAAATATTATTTTTTCATATGTCCATTTCACCAAAAAACAAAAAAAAAATAAAAAACATTTGAAAAATCCAATATAAATCTTAATTAGGCTTGAAGAAGAAAAAATATAGCTTTAAGACAAAAGTGTTTATGTTATTGTGCACAATAGCCTGTGAACGGACCCATAGCCAACTAAGCCACCAGCGGGTTTGCAGAGGCATTTAAATGAATGGGCGGAGATAGCCCATCCTTCTCCTGAGGAACAGCTGGTGACCCCGAACTGCATGCTTGGGATTGCACTGCAGTTTCTTGCCACTAGGCCACCAGAGCTCCCAGAAGTGTTTATAACATGTATTAATTCCTTTCCACATTCCAAAAGCTTGAGGCATACATAAGACAAAATTTAAAAAATTGAGATTATCATGTCAAAAGCATGAAAATATTGAGAGGACTATAGCCTTCAATATAGATTGAGGCTCAATATCAAGAAAACAAAGATGCTCACCACTAGGCCAACTGGCAACATCATGATAGACGGTGAAGAGACTGAGATTGTTAACAGCTTTAGTTTGCTTGGCTCTACAATCAACACTCTTGGCACCAGAAGCCAGAAAATCAAAAGACATATTGCAATAGGAAAGTCTGCTGTTAGGGACCTCTCCAAAGTACTGAAGAGCAATGATGTCACTCTGAAGACTAAGGTGAGCCAGATACAGACCATGGTCTTTGCAATCACTTGCTATGTGTCAGAGAGCTGGATAATGACTAGAGATGACAGAAGGAAAATTGATGCCTTTGAGCTATGGTGTTGGAGAAGAGTATGGAATATACCATGGACTGCTAAGAAAACAAACACATTCATCCTAGAGAGAGTTAAACCAGTCTGTTCCTTGGAGGCAAGGATTCTAAGGCTTCATCTGATATACTTTGGACATGTTGCAAGGAGGGACCAATCCTTGGAGAGGGACGTCATGCTTGGGAGAGTGGATGGACAGCGCAGGAGAGGAAGACCCTCTATAAGATGGATTGATTCAGTGATTGGAGTAATTGGGGTCGGTGTGTCAGAGGCAGTGAGACTGGCACAGGATAGAGCAGGGTTTAGGGCTGTTGTACGTAGGGTCACTATAAGTCGCAGGTGACTCAACGGCACATAACAACAACAACAATATGCTTGGCAAGGTGGAGGGACAGTAAAGAGAGGAAGACTTTCAACGTGATTAATTGACTCAGTGACTGGGGCAATGGGGGTAGGTGTATTAGAGAGAGACAGTAAGATTGCCACAGGATAAAGCATCTTTTCAGGCTATGAGTTGCAGGCGACTCAAAGGCACATAACAACAACAATAAAATAGGAGAAGAATATCAAAATTAAATAAGATTCCTACACTTAAAATGCATTTCCAGTCTGGAATTTTCTGCTTGTACACGAAGTTCTTCAAAAGCTATTATCATTTTCTGAAACATAAAGATTAATACTTAAAAAAGCATACTTGGACTTTTCAAATACATTTTTTCAAATTATGAAAATATAAGTAGATTCAAATAATGTGACCTTTAGGTTTAAAATGCTACAATCTGAAATAAGGAAAACTACATAACTTTGAATTAAATTACTTTACAGCATATTAGGAAAATCTATTATGATTTTCCAGATGGTCAAAGGCATAGTAAACTAATAGAAGATGGTATAAGAAAGATAAACAGAAGCTAGTCAAAAATAAACAATAATGCTTTAAGTGTTCTTCAAATTAATGGCAATGAGTCACTTTATAAATTAAATTATTTTATCAGCATGTAAATGAAAAGTACTACTAATAAAACACTAACATTCACAGTACAGAATCTTGGATATGGTACTAGTGATCTAATAATTTAACAACAACAACAAAAAGAAATAAAAAAAATAACCACCCTATCTCTATCTTTACTATCAGTCTACTTTGTCCAGAAATGTCTATTTAAAATACTGAAATTTTTCACTGCCACTTACCTCAATGTTATTATTTAGATCCAAATAAACTTGCCTAGTTTCTTCCCGTTCAAATTCATCTAGTAGAAATAAAAAAATTTAAAATTTGCACTTAAAACAGTTAAGGCACCAGTAGGACATTACTCAAAATACATAAGGAAAATATCAAAATACTGAAAATTCTTATCAATGAAGTACATGAGCATATTCAATCAAAGAACCTTTCAAGGTAGTAACAAAAGCGTTTGACAGTAAAGCATAACTATACATATTTATAACTATATATACTTATATGCAACTTACTTAAGATTCATAATGTACACATGAAAGACAAAACTTGCTCATATCTATTATTCTATCTCAAAAAAAGGCAGAATGGAAGATAAATCTCATGACAGTAATAATGTTAAGAATAAGTATGGTCTAAAAAAGAAATTGTCTATGAAGAATTTACTGCTGCTTCTTTTTTTTTTTGCTTTTGGCATTGCTGTTGTTGTTAGACACTATCAAGTCCAGTATGACTCATATTGCTGCTGCTGTTGTTATGTGCCATCGAGTCGTTTGCGACTCATAGCGACCCTATGTACAACAGCCCTAAACTCTGCTCTATCCTGCGCCAATCGCACTGCCTCTGACACACCCACCCTGATTACCCCAGTCACTGAATCTATCCACCTCATAGAGGGTCTTCCCCTCCTACGCCGTCCCTCCACCCTCCAAGCATGATGTCCCTCTCCAAGGACCTGTCTCTCCTTACAACATGTCCAAAGTATGTCAGATGAAGCCCCAGAATCCTTGCCTCCAAGGAGCAGCCCGGTTTAACCCTCTCCAGGATAAGTCTGTTTGGTTTTTTGGCAGCCCATGGTATATTCAATACTCTTCTCCAGCACCACAGCTCAAAGGCATCAATTCTCCTTCTATCCTCCTTAGTCATTGTCCAGCTCTCCAATGCATAACAAGTGATTGCAAAGGCCATGGCCTGTATCAGACACACCTTAGTCTCCAGAGTGACACCATTGTTCTTCAGTACTTTGGAGAGGTCCCTAATAGCAGACTTTCCCACTGCAATAAGTTTTTTTATTTCCTGGTTGCTGGTGCCAAGAGTGCTGACTGTGGAGCCAAGCAAACTAAAGTTGTTAACAATCTCAATCTCTTCACCATTCAAATGCACCATTCTGATGCTGCCAATTGGTCCAGTGGTGAGAATCTTTGTCTTCTTGACATTAAGCCTCAATCCATACTGAAGGCTGCAGTCCTTGACCCTCAGATCTGACTCCTATCTGATCCTTTAATGTCCTCATCATTGCTGATGAACCTGAACCTACTGCTGCAGTAACTGTGTCAATCCATCCGGTTGAGGGTCTTTTTCACCAACACTTTATCTTTCCACGCCTGATGTCCCAGTCCAAAGAATCTAGTCTCCTAGCAACATTCTCAAAGTATATGAGACTAAGTTCTATGATCTTTGCTTCCAAGGAGCATTCTGACTGTACTTTTTCCAAGACATTATTTGTTCTTTTGACAGTCCACAGGATATTCAGAGATATTCTCCAACACCACAACTCAAAGGAATCAATTATTCTGCCATCCTAATTCACTGTCCAGCTCTCAGATGCACAGCCAAGTGACTGAAAAGACCAAGACCTGAATGAGGCACACCTTAGTCTTCAAACTGCCATCATTGCTCCTCTGTAATATAGAGAGGTCATTGACAGATTTTCCCAATGCAATACATTTCTAGATCCCCTGAGTACTGATACCAAGTGTGTCAACTGTGAATCCAAGAAAGATGAAATCTTTAGCACTGTTGTTGTTGTTACTAGGTACTATTTACTGAGACAAGTCCCTCACAGTGACCCTATGACCAACAGAGCTGAACTCTGTCCTATCTTGTGCCTTTATCATTTCTGATATTCCTAAGCCCACTCATTGACAGTTTTCTTCTCTCTCGCTTTCCAATGATGTCCTCTCCCAAGGAATAGTCTCTCTAAATAACATGATCAAAGTATGTGAGATGATGCTTTGCCATCTTTGCCTCAAAGAGCATTCTGGCAGTACTTTCTCTAAGATGTATCTATTTGTTCTTTTGGCATTCCATGGGCTATTCAGTACTCTTCTCTAACAGCACAGCTCAAAGGCATCAATTACTCCTCTGTAACCCTATTAATTGTTCAGCTCTCAGATGAAAGGCAAGTTATTAAAAATATTATGGTCTGAATGTCTTCAAACTGACATCATTACTCCCCAGTAATTTAGAGACATCTCTGACAGCAGTCTTTCCCAATGCAATATGTCTCCTGAGCTCCTGACTGTTCCTATCAAGGTTGTTGACTGTGGATCCAAGTAAGGTGACATTGTAGATAATTTGAATCTTTTCTCTATTGTTATGTTGCCTGTCAGTCCAATGGTGAAAAATCGTTTTCTTAATGTTCAGATATAATCCAAGTGAAGGCTATACAGTCTGTGATCTTCTACAACAAGCACCTCAAATCCTCCTCACTTTCAGTATGCAAGGCTGTGTAATCTGCATAATGTAGATTGTTCATCAGTCTCCCTCTAATCCTAGTCTTCTAATCCAGATTCTCAAATGATCATTGCATAAAGATTGAATACAAAAGGGTAGAAAATACAACTCTAGCCCACACCTTTGTTAATTTTTTTATTATTATTATTAATTTTAATGAACATTTACAGAGATTTTGGATTTCCATTAATTCACTGCTGCACTTTTTTCCCTGCCCATCCCCCACCATTCCCCCAGTTCACTCTTCTCTTTGAAAAGTAAAAGAAAAATTCCATCATTGGTATACAATTCTCCCGCATCCAACTTTGTTAATTTTAAACCATGTTCCCTGGCTCTGTTCAGACAACAGTCTCTTGATCTAGGCACAGGTTTCACATTAACATAATTAAGTGTTCTGAGATTCTCATTCTTCTCATTGTTAGCCAAAATTAGTTACAATACACACAAATGTCTTTGAACAGTAAATAAAGTGCAAAAAGATATTCTTCTGGTAGTCTGTTTTCAGCCAGGATCCACCTGATATGAGCAATGTTTTGGTATTGTGCTGGGACAATAACTTTTGTCTATGCATAAGTTTCACATGTGCACAATTAAATGTTTTGTGATTCCCATTCTTCTCAATAATCATAACCATAATTTGTTATGATCCACACAGTCAAATGCCTCTGCATGGTCAATAAAACACAAGTAAATCTCTTTTGGGGATTCTCTGCTTTTAGCTGAGATCGCTCTGACATCATCAGTGATATACTTCCTTCCACAACCTCTTCTGAATCTAGCTTGAACTCTGGACATTCCTTACTGATGGACTCTTACAGCCAGTTTTTAATAACTGAAAGCAGAGAATACCAGAAGAATGTCTATTGGTTTTATTATAAGAAACCATGGCTAACTTTGAAGAGAATGGGGATACCAGAATACCAAGAAACTGTTATGGGAACAAAGCAAAGGAACACTGTAGGGTTTAAAATCAATAAAGGTGTACATCTTTCTTTCAAGTGTTGTATCCTATCTCCATACCTATTAATCTGTATGCTGAGCACATCATTTGAGAAGCTGGATTCTATGAAGAATGTGGCATCAGGATGAGAGAAGACCCACCAAAAACCTGCATTATTAATCCCAATCCAAATACCAAATTCATTTTTCAAGGAGATTGAAAGGGAAATTGTCAAATTTATTTGGAGAGGCAAGAGACCCCAAATAAGCAAAACACTTCTAAGAAACAAAATGAGGTGGGAGGCATAGCACTCCCTGACTTCAAAACCTACTTATACAGTAGAAGTAACCAAAATAGCATGGTAATGGTAAAATGACAGGCACAGATACAAATGGAACAGAATTGAGAACCCAGAAATAGACCCAGCTCTCTATGGTCAAACTGATATTTGACATGAAATCAGAGCTATCAAATGGGGAAATGATAACCTCTTCAACAAGTAATGCTGGCAAAACTGGACTTCCACTTGCAGAAAACTGAAACAGGATCCACATCTCACACTATACACAAAAATCAACTCAAGGTGGATCAGAGACTGGGAATAAAGCCCAAAACCATAAAGTTCATAAAAGACAAATTAGGATGAAGCTTAGAAGCCCTAGTTTATGGTATAAAGAGACTGCCAAATACACCCAGAAATGTACAATCTGAAGAGGATAAAAGTGATGAATGAGACCTTTTAATGATTAAATTCCTGAGTGCATCATAAACTTTTTTCCAACACAGTGAAAAGAAAACCTACCAACTGGGAACAAACACTTGGTAATACCATCTCAGACAAGTGTTTCATAATGAAAGTTTGCAGAATACTCCTGGGCCTCCACAAGAGAAAGACTGATAACTCAATTACAAAATGGGCAAAGACATGAAAAGCATTTCCACAGAGGAAGATATTCGAATGACAAACAGACACATGAAGAAACACTCAAAATCACTGGCAATAAGAGAGATGCAAATCAAAACCACAATGAGGTACCATCTCACTGCAGAAACAGTAGCAAAGTTTAACAGACCAGCAAGTAATAAAAGTTGGAAAGGATGTGGTGAGAAAGGAACTCCTATACATTGTTGGTGAGACTGTAAAATGGTACAACAATTCTGGAAGGCAGTTTGCCACTTTCTCAAAAAGCTGAACACAGAAATTCCAGCTATTCCACTGCTCAGAATATACCCCGAGACCTGTACACCAATGTTCATAGCAATGTTATTCACCATTGTAAGAGCATGGAAAGAGCCCAGCTGTCTAATCACAATCTAATGGATTCAGAAATTATGGTACATTCACACAATGGAATACTATGCAACACACAGGAACAATGATTTTGTAAATTATTACCTAACTTGGGAGAGACTGGAGAACATTATGCTGAGTGAACTAACTCAGTCTCACAAGGAAAAATATTGTGTAAAACCATTATTGTATAATAAGTATGAGGATCCGGGGGGGGGAGGGTAGAAGCAGAGGGATGACAATATGTTGGGGAAAGGAGGTATAAATCATGGGGATGTACAATTTGATGGGGAGCTGAGGGCAACTGGAATAAACTGGTCTGGAA